AGTAAAGAGGAGGGCCTGGGAGATGTTTGTGGGACAGATCGTAATCTTTGGTGGCTCTGTGTGTCCCACAGGTAGAGATCTAGCTGGTTGGGTTTAGAATCTCATGTCCTTCTTGAGGTTGTTGTTGTTGTTAGCTGCCATCAGGTCACCCCCCAATTCATGGCGACTCCATGCACAACAGGGTTGGACCATTGTGATCTGTAGGGTTTTCACTGGCTGATTTTTCAGAAGTAGATCACCAGGACTTTCTTCCTATTCTGTCTTAGTTTGTGTCTTAGTCATCTAGTGCTGCTATAACAGCAATACCACAAATGGGTGGCTTTAACAAACAGGAATTTATTTTCTCACAGTTTAGGAGACTAGAAATCCAAATTCAGGGTGCCGGCTCTAAGGGAAGGCTTTCTCTCTCTGTTGGCTCTGGAGGAAGGTCCTTGTCTGTTTTAGCTTCTGCTCCTGGGCAATCTCTGCTTCTTTTGCTTGCTTGTTTAATCTCTTTTATATCTCAAAGAAGATTCATTTAAGAGACACCAGATTCTAATCCTGTCAATTAACACAACAAAGACACCAGACAAAAACAAACCCATTGCTGCAGAGTCAGTTAGGACTCATAGTGACCCTACAGGACAGAGTAGAACTGCCCCATAGCCCATTCCCAAATGAGATTATAACCACAGACATAGAGATTAGGATTTACAACACATATTTTGGGGGGACACAATTCAATCCTTAACAGTCTGGAAGTTCCTCTGAAACCTGCATCATAGCAACACACAAGCCTCCACTGATAGATGGATGGTGGCTGCGCTTGAGGTGTATCAGCTGGGAATCAAACCCCGAAACCCAGCATGGAAAGTGAGAATTCTACCACTGAACCACCTCTCCCCTCTTTTTTAAGGTGAGAGTTGCCATTGTCAGTTTGTAGAGCCAACCCATGGTAGGGACTCTTCAAACTACACGAGTTGAAAGGAGGAGGAAAAATTATTAAGGAGAAGGTTTCCTCCCTGGATTTGTAGCTCTGGTAATATAATCCAAGAGAAAGAAAAGAAATGATAAGATATTTATTTAAGAGACATTCTCGTTATGTCTTGCTACATTGTGTGTGTATGTGTGTGTTTGTATACAGCCCACAGCTCTCTTTTGTGCTGGCTTTCAACAGAAAAACATTATGTTTACAGCAAGATGATAATCCAGGATTTTCCATGGCTCACCCTGTCAGAGTATAAGATTAGCTCTTGAATTCATTAACTGTCGTCTCCTTTTAAATGTCAGATAACTTTTTAAATGCCAAGTACTTACGCAATGCCTTCCGTGCAATTCAAATCAGCTTTACCAAATTAACTCATTAATCTTTATTGTTTCATTTAGGGAAGGGAAAGGCTTCCAGGTGTTTTTAGCAGAACATAAATATATTAAAATATTTACAATACAATGTAGGTAAAGGAATGAGTGGTTTTTGGTTAAACATTTCACCCTTGACCCTTCCCTCAGTCCCACCAAGGTGTGCACATAAAAGAAACAAAAAAGCTCAGGTTTCTCTGCTTCCTTCTAGTTTCATCATTTTCTTTCCCTTCCATTTAACCTTGCATTTTCTTCTCCCTCCTACACCTTCAGAGACCTTGACTCCTGTTCACCATTCATTTTTCTCTCTCAGCTCTCAACATACCCCAAGAGCTGCCAGTACCAGTTATGATTACTTTGCCACTCAGGAAACAGAAGGACGCCTCACGGGGTCAAGGATGGAGCCGAGAGGGCTGAGGCAGAACAGGCCTAGAAATCAGGAATTCCACTTTCCTTTTCAAAGAACCTCTGCCTGATTCTCTCTCTGAATAATCAGAGCACAGAGATACAGATGACACTGACTGTTAAAGATAGATCCTCAAGGGCTAGCTCCTTCTTGTCGCCAGCTCTCAGCTCAAATGTCATCTCCTCAGAGAAGTCTTCCCTGACCACCCAGTGTAAAGTTGCCAACCCCTCCTCTATCACTTTCCATCCTATCACCATTTCACCGTCTTCATAGATTTATCACTGTCTAAAATCCTCATCTCACGTGTGTATATGCTTATTTGTCTTACACAAAGTAGGCACTCAATAAATACCAGTTTAATGAATACATGAAAAACCACCCAAGCACATGGCATTCTTGCTGGTTTCAATTTTCTTTTTCTTTTCTTATCACTGCCTTTCAGAATCCTTTTTACATGTTTAATTTTTTATTTCCTCCCATCTCCCAGACGCCCTCCCCTTTCACTATTATTTGTTTGTTAGAACACTTGAACATACTAGGCAAAACCAGTACTTCACATTCCAGTGGCTATAAAACCTTCACCTACGACATGCCACCAGGCTAGAATTGATGGCTGCTAAGTGTTAGGGAGATGAGCCATACAGTCAAGAGAATTATTTTGTCAAAAGTGATTTGGAGGAACTTGTCTCAGAGCCTCTCAACTCCCCATTCTTCAATCTGAACCCCACATAAAGAGAGAAAGCAATTCTAGCCTTTGGAACTGGTCTTGGTTTTGACTTTTGTCCTCTAGCCTAACACAAAAACTTCTCTTGGGAATAATGGAGAAATTTCCTTCAAGTCAGTATTGTCCGATGTCTATTATTCCATCCAGTGATTCATGCATGATTTTGGAGGCTAGAAAGCTTGAAACACTTTGTCTGATTCTAGTTTGGACCAAGTGCTTTCATTTTATCTAGAAATGGGGTGGGACCATCTCATTCTAAGAAGCTAATTAGATACATGGCTGAGGTGACAAAAAATTGGATATGCATTTGTCCAGAAAAATTTTATCTCTAACTACATTCTAAAACAAAGGAAAATGGTGTGGGTGTTCATTGGAATGATGGCTGCCTGCAGAAACCTACCAACTGTTAATCCACCATTAATGCTTAAAAGTAATATAAACGCTATCAGGAGGGAGACTTTATGATGGTCCAGAGAGACAAACATCCAAGACTTAGTCTTCTAGAAAATATGGAAATGATCAAATCCACACCAGAATGATCTCATGACAGACTAATGTACATGACCCCAGCAAATCAGCCCTGGAAAATAACACTTCTCTCTGGGAATGAGGAGCCAGTGCAATGTAGAGGACAGACCTCTCGAGGGCAATACACACTTCCTGCAAAGATGTCTTCATTGGCCCTCTCCTCATTTTAACTGAGGTGGGTCATAGCACATAGCTTACCCACGATGTCATTCACTCACGTGTTTTTTAGTCTTTTGTTCAACAAGTATGTTTCAAGTGTGTACAAGTTTCCAGACCCTGACAGTCACTGGTGATGCAGTGGGAACAGGACAGCTGTGGTTCCTGCCCTCAGGGAGCTTACAATCTAATGGGGAGGAGAGATGAGCAATCGTTGTGGGCAATGATGGAATGTGCTCAGTGCTCTGGGAGGTCATGGGAGGCACAGATGAGCCAGGCCAAAGGAGAAGGAGGAGTTAGAAGGCAACAAGAAGTGGTGAGAGTGTTCCCAGCAGAAAGAAGGGCCTTGTCCCAGATGTTGAAAGTTCAGTGTCAATGGTGGGCCTTTACACTTGCTACTCACACAGTGAGCTAAATGTTACCTGCAGATAGCCACATGGAACCTTCCCTCACCTTCTTTAGAGTTTTGCTCAAATGTTACTTTCTTGTGGAGCCTTCCTGGACTACCTTGTTTAAAATTGCAGCCTCCACCTCCATCCTGGCTACTCCTTATCCCCTGTTCCTGCTTTATATTTCTCCGTATCACGAATCACCTTCAGACATAACTAATGTTCTGCTTCCTTGTTTAAACTCTCTTCCCTCGCAGTGGAATGAATGTGCAGTAGCCATGGGGGCAGAGATTTTCATCTGCTTTGTGCACTGCTGTATCCACTTTGCCTGGCAGAGAATAGCACTCAATAAATATTTGTTGAATGAGGCTAGAGAGATAGTCCAGGGCTGGCAGGACGGGACTTCTTCAGTGGGTTGACCTTCATCCTGAGGGCAATGGCCTTTGAAGGCTTAAACAGAGGAGTGATGTGGTCCAATTTGTATCTTAGAAAGACCTCCAAGGTCTCCGTGTGGGGTGTGGGCTAGGGGACAACTTCAGATCCAACATGTAGTGCTCTGAAATGTGACGCTGTGTGCACGTTGTGATGTTAGCAGAGAGCATGGCCCAAAGGATCGGAAAGCTCCAGGGCCTCCAGAGTCCTTTAATAACCTATCCTTCTTCCCACTCTGCTACATTTGTTCAAATCACTATTCCTAACACATCAAGTACATCTTCAGCTTGGAAATAAACTAGAATCATGCCATAGCCTTATTTGCTGCAAGGCAGATGTGATAACCATTCATAGAAGCTATGACAAAAACAGTTACCATAGAGTCGATTTTGACTCATGGCGACCCCATGTGCTACAGAGTAGAACTATGCTTCATAGGATTTTCAATGGCTGATTTTTTGGAAGTAGATCACCAGGCCTTTCTTCAGAGATGCCTCTGGGTGGAATTGAACTGCTAACCTTTCAGTTAGCAGCCCAGTGTGTTAGCCATTTGTGCCCCCCAGGAACCCCACGGAAGCTATATAAGTATAGCTTTTTAAAAAAGGACCTCATTAAAAAGTAGCCTTGAGCGGATGATCTCAGCTCTGCCCATTTCCCAGCTGTGTAGCTTTCGGCACATTGCTTAACTTTCCAGAGACTCAATATCCTCATCTGTGAAATGGGAACAACAATACCTGCCTCACAGGCTTGTTGTGAGGATTAAATGAGATAATGTAAAACCCTGGCACATAATAAAATCACTCTTTTCACTTCCCCATTGCACAGCCCCCAGGTATGAATGAATAACCGTTCCTGGGTTATTCCCTACACATATGAGCCCCCAGGTCTCCAATGGTAAAAATAGGTGTTACTATTAGTGTTCCAAAGATGAAAAATTGCTTTCTATAAATATTTGGGAATTTGGACTAACTCTTGTCGCACTGTATATCATTCCAGTGAAAGTTAGGCTTTCTGTTTCTCTTCACAGGGATCCCAGCAGTCCTTGGAGGCAGCAGCTCAGAAGACAGGAGAGCCTCAAAGTTGTATAAATAAAGGGCCGATATGTTCAAACAGAAAAGAATTTTACCCGCGCAAGCTGCACATCAACATGACGCCGTTCCTGAAGGTGATCTCACACTGAGAAGACGAGGGGTTTTACAGACGCATACACAGGAATTCCAGTTAATACACTTCTGCATGGTGCAAACACAGCTTCAGAAGTCCCTCAGAGCACCCGCTTTATCAGAAGAGACATAAAATAGGCAGTTTGTAGCAGATGAAAAAAGGACAAATTAGGACAGTAATCACAGCCAGCCATCGAGGACAAATCAGTTGGGTGCCTGGTTTGTGTTATGGGGGACAGAGAGCAGAGAGGAGAAAGGATAACCTTGAACCAACTCATAAGATAGGCAAATATAATTCCTTTTATCTTGACAGTAGCTAAAATAATTGTTACTGTTCTACAATTGTAACTTGGTAGAACTCATCTTCCAGCTGTTCAGAGGACTGATTCCCTTAGTTAACTATTTAGACATCAACTGCAAATCCTCTTCTGGGTGTTGTAACCCTGTTTTCTGTTCTGTTAAGAGTCCCTTGATCTTCCAAGCTCAGCTTCATTTCTAGTTAAGGGTACTGACAGCTCCTGTGGGGAAGATGTCATTTGTCCATCTTTGTGATACCCCCTTCCGCCCCAGCAGCTAACACACAGAAGGTGCTCGCTAAATGCTGCATGAACTGACCCGCCCTTTTCATCCCACAGCCCTCTGGTTCAGGGCCCTCTTCCTATCCATTCTTTGCACTCCTTGGAGTTTACTGAACTGGAAATAAATGGCCATGGAGTCAAAGAAACTGACAAAGAAACTGGAAGGATCTCAGAGGTGACTGCCCTGGAGGACAATGTCCCAAGCAATTGGTAGGAAATGACTAGGAAAGACAGAAACATGGGAGGGGAGACCAAATACTTGATGGCGGTGCTATCTATTGCACTAGATGGCAGGGACTTCATAAATTATGCAGATTTAACCAGAGTTCTCAGATTAAATCTTCTCTGGGCTACCGCAACCCTAGCTCTGCTAGGTGGGACTTTGACTAAGAATCATACATTTGCCTGAAATCTGTCTCTCTCCATGGCTGGATCTGCTTTCCTCTCCTTCCTCTCAGATAAGTTCTTACCCCATGGTGGCAAGATGGCCACCAGCCTCTATTTTCCAGGTCATTCCAGAACTGAATCTCATTGGCCTGACTTGGGTCATATGCCCACGCCTAAATAAATGCCATGGGCAGAGGAGTGGAATACACTGATTGGCCCAACCTGGACCCACAGTGATGAGTAGGGAGGGGAGGGGTATTTCACAAAGGAAGACAGGGTACCGAAAACCAGAAGAAGGAAATGACTCTGGGCAACAAAAGATGTTTTGCTGCAAGTATTCAAAAAATATTGCCATGCTTCCTTACTTATATTAGTGAATCTATCCTTTTTTTCCCCCTAGTAACAGTTTAGTTTATATTCCCAGGATGACATATCATCATCACCATCACAACTCATTCATTCAGCAATATTTGAACACCTACTTACTACTAAATATATGTCTGACACTTTCTGGGCATTTAGGATACACCCACAAGCAAAATAAAGATCCCTGCTCTGCTCCAGTCTAGTGCAAAAAACAGAAATAACGTGAGAAATAAGCAAAGTATATAGTAAGTTGGAAAGTGGACATTGCTAAGGAAATGAGATAAGAATTTATTTATGGAGATTGAAAAACTGCAGAATTCAGAGTGGAGAATTTTACAATAATTTTTGTATACTTAATGCCCATAATGCTTTCGTGTTACAGTTTTTCATTCAGCAGTTTTGACACAGTATCATAGAGGGAAAGGTGTTGGCATCCCTAAGGCCCACTTTACAGTCCTTCCTTTTCACACCACCACTTCTGACTCCTGCACACCACGCTCCTCCCTCCTCCCAGCAGTTCCCTGAGAAAGTCTGCCGTGAACCTTAAGTACCATGCTCGGATAGGGGGCCATGCACGCGAGTGGAAGGCAGGACTGGTGGAATGTTTTCCAAAGACAGACGAGAACTTAAAACCACTCATTTGATCCCCAGTTACAGTTGAAGAAACTGAGGCTCGGGTGGTTACATTACTCCCACATTTATCAGGTGTGAAATGGGAGGAGTTAGGATTATAGGGCAGAAACTGACTTCAGGACCTATACCCCCCTTCTCAGGGAAACTATCTCTCATACTCTGGTTTCAACACTGTAGTTCGTGTTTTTAAAGTGTCTGTTACTCCCCCCACTCCCCCACCAGGCCTATAATACTACATTGCTGCCAGTGCACTTTCTAAATACAGCTAGTCATATCACTGGCTTGTCTGAAATTCTTTAATGTGTCCCCATTGGCCTTCAGGTTATAATCCTGGCATCAAAGATGTATTTATTTCACAAGCAGAAAAATATAATGAATGCAATTTTTTCAAAATCCAAACTGCAACAGGTCAGAGCTGCCTCGGGTCTAATTTCACCCTGCACACACATGCCCCCTCTCTGCAGCCACACCAGTCTACCCCTCACCAGCACATGCTGCTTCCTCTGCCTGGAATTGTCCTATCATCCCTTCTCTGCAAGACTTAGCACCATGTCCACTGGTAAACAAGCCTTCCCCAGCCTAATTTAGCCTCACGTCCCATGAGGCCCTGCAGGAACCTGTCATAATCTGTCACTACATTTACCACACTGCATTGCAACCATGAGATTTCTGGCCGTTTCCCCACAAGTCAGTGAGCAGCTTACATATGGATCTTTCATCTTTGTGCCCCTAACACCTAGCACAGTACCTGGCACACAGCAGGCACTCAATAAATGTTCAATAGCTGAATGAACAGATGAAGAGCAAATGACCTGGCCAGAATAACAGAGCAGGGATTTGGATTTGCAGGCCCTCAGTTTGCTTTGCTCATCCACTGTCTTAATTATCTAGTGCTGCTATAGCAGAAATACCACAAGTGGATGCTTTAACAAAGAGAAATTTATTCTCTCACAGTCCAGGAGGCCAGAAGTCCAAATTCAGGGTGCCAGCTCCAGGGGAAGGCTTTCCATCTCTATCAGCTCTGGAGGAAGGTCCTTGTCATCAACCTTTCCTTGGCCTAGGAGCTTCTCAGTGCAGGGACCCCAGGTCCAAAGGACGCTCTCTGCTCCTAGCACTACTTTCTTGGTGGTATGAGGTCCCCCTGTCTCTGCTTCTCTCTTTTATCTCTCAAAAGAGATTGACTCAAGATACAATCTAATCTTGTAGATTGAGTCCTGCCTCATTAACATAACTGCTTCTAATCCTGTCTCATTAACATCATAGAGGTAAGATTTCACAACACACAGGAAAATCACATCAGATGACAAAATGATGGACAATCACACAATACTGGGAATCATGGCCCAGCCAAGTTGATACACATTTTAGGGGGACACAATTCAATCCATAACATCCACCAAGTATTATTACGTGTGTTTCCGGTAATTGTGTTTTGATTTAATCACTGCATTTGTAACTCACAGTAAAAATGACAGCATTTTATTTACCTTTAGTTTTTTAATTAAAATTTTGAATCTGAAATATACTCAGATGATTTTTTAAAATTTTAAGTATAGAGGGTATGTTTCCCAGCCATTCAGCTACTGTGTCTGGCTTCTTGTGTACACTTCCTGAGATGTATTATACACATATAAGCAAATACAGATAGATAAATACATAGATAGGCAGGTGATTGATAGGTAGGTAGGTAGATAATAGATAGAAAGAGAGAGGGGGTAGATAGATAAGCAGATAGACAGACAGACAGATACTTTATACAAATGATGGCATATTCTATTGTTCAGAGTCTTGCTTTTTTCACTTAATTTATATTGGAATTCTTTCTATATCAATTCAAAAAGAGATGCCTTGTTCTTTTAAACAGCTGTATAGTATTCTATTGTATATTACCATAACTTATTTGATAGTCTCCTATTGATGGGAATTGGGTTGTTTCAAATCTGTTGCAATGAATGACCTTAGACAAATGTCGTTTCATACATGTGCTCATATATCTAAAAATAATAGTTTTTTTTGACACTTTTCTGAACAATTTACAACTGAATGGACAGAATTCCAAACTAAGACCATTTCTTTTTTCTAACAGAGACTCAAGAGAAGATTCTCTTCACGTCTCTGATTCTCTCTGCCTCTGTCTCCCCAGCTGTGAAATGAGAAGAATATTCTTTGCCCCTGAAGCCTCATAACTGCGTGTTGTTAAGACTGAGGGTTTATCCTTCTCAGTTTTGAGATTCTTCAAAAGGAAGGAGCTTGTTTCTCCCTTTCAATTTAATTTTCTGTTAGATTAAAAGGCCTTAAAAACAGGGGTTTTTAAAGAAATTTACGACTTTTCTAAATAAGTTATATGTACTACGACTCAGGCAGATTTTTCCCATAATGCTTTTTTTTTAAAAAAAAAAACTTCCAATTTATTCGGGGATGAATTTTCTTACTGTACCAGGCCAAATATGCTTTGTCTCTAAAATGAGAATGCGAAAGAAAGAAAATGACTTACCTGCTCTAGCTTTTTCATGCCAGAATATCTCATCAGCTGCAAACACTAAGCTAACAACTGAGAAACACACAGGGTAAAAAGCCACCGAGTGAGGAAACTCAGAGGGGAATTAAAGGAAGTGTCAGACAAATTAGCAGATAATTAATGAAATGTCTCTTCCCAAAGCAGCTTGGGTATTTGGTAACAAAGTGGAAAGATAATTGTCACTGGACGATGAAGGTAACCAGGAAAGACTTCCAGGGCCCCTACATGTCAAATCTCACATCCAAATCTTCATCAAAAACACCAGGCTTTACTTGGGTCACTGACTCTACCCACTATGTTAGAGTCCTAAAGAGCTGCTCTTCCGACATTCTGAAAGATCAGTGATTCTCAGTCCTGGCTACATATTGGAATCACCCAAGAAGCCTCAAAAATGCCCCAACCCTAGAGAGTCTGACTTCTGTTGTTTGGGATTAGATCCTGGGAATCATATTTTGTAAAGCTCTCCCAAATGGTTCTAATGTGCAGCCAGGGGTTGAGAACCACTGTTATGGAGACTTCTGGGAGGTGAGATTGCAAACAGCCTGTGTGACTCAGGGAAAGAAGGAAGAAGGGATTGGATGTGGTAAAACCCAATCTGTGGTAATCCTGGGTGCTCCACAAAAGCCAATCTGACCCTGTCCTCCCCTGCTTTAAACTCAGTGCTTTGCAGTTGCTCTCAGGATAAAGACCAAAGTCCTTAAGCTGTCTACCGGGCCTTGGGGGTCTGATTCCTCCCCACCCTTCCCACTTCCCTCAGTCTCTGCTCCAGTCGCACCAGCCTTCCTTCAAGTCCCTGAAGGTGCCCTTCTTCCTTCTGCCAGTTGACCTCTGCCTGTGACATTCTCCTTCTCCCTCCCTCCTTCCCCTCCCCTTAACTCCTGCCTATACCCCGGCACTGAGCCCTGCACAGGTGAATGGGACAAGTTCCCATCCAGATAAAGAACAACTAAGACCCTAACAGTGCTCAATGCTGCCATCAAGCTTGCCTGGCTCTTTAAGGCCGTTCACACTTACAGCAGCCCTGTTGGTCGTTTATGTTAAAAAGAAGAAGAAACAACTAAGAAAGTTGGATTCCTTTTACTACAGGGCACAGCTCACAGGAGTGTTTGCATCTGTTTCGTCTTATGTATTCTTTGTCGTGTGTTAATCTAACAGGAAAGTAGAGATGAGCTGGACCATCATGAACAACCAGGAGGACCCCTCGGAGAAAATCATCAAGACAGCCAAGGTAGAGAGAGACAGCTGGGTTGGGTTTTATAATTTTATCACTGTAATTGCTGAATGAACTTTCTATTGTTAAAAGATGTTAGTGGGAACAACCCTTCCATTTCTTTTAGGTCACGGTTTGGAAGTCAGAACATAGTCCAAAGCGCTAAAGTTCAGCTCTGATGTGTTCTTAGTGCATCGCAAGCCAAATAATAATATGCTTTTATGTCCTTGGTGGAGTACCTGGGTGGTGCAAACAGTTAACATGCTCAGCTACTAACCAAAAGGTTGGAGGTTCAAGTTCACGCAGTGGCACCTCTAAAGAAAGGCCTGGTGACCTACTTCTGAAAAATTAGCTATTGAAAACCCTATGGAGCACAGTTCTGCTCTGACATACATGGGGTCGCCATGAGACGGAATCAATTCCACGGCAATAGATTACGTCCTTGGATTTACAGAAAGATTTCTTTCCTGCTAGAAGGCTGCAGATTGATGGAAGGGTTAGAGACTTTCAGGGCATTACAGAAAGGCCCCAGGCATCTCCAACTCTCTGTTCTTCCTTCTCCCACAGGGGATTGGATATGCAGGTGAGGGAACCTAGGTCCCTGCCCAGGGACATTAAGTTCCAACAGACCAGGTACCAGCATCTTTAGGGACCTAGCTCCTGTCACCCACAGCTTGAGGTGGTCCTGGCTGCTTGATTGTGGTGGCTTCCTCCGGAAATGATGCAGTATTTGATGATGATGAGGGTGGTGATGATGATGGTGACAATGATGACAATAATGATGGTCCTAAGAAATATTGAGCCTACAATCACTGGGCTTTTTGGTATATTTTCATATTCTCAGAACCCTAAACTAGGCTTTATGCTCTTCCCTAGAGGAACCTGGGTGCACTGCATAATGCTGGAGTTGGCTAAACCCAGGTAACAGAGCTGTTTTTTATCCTCCCTGCCTCTTGCAGGGGTGGAAACAGAAGCATGGGAGACTTGAATTCTCAGGGAATGGATACAGGGCCACACAGTAGGGCTGTGCTTGTTCGCTTACAAAGGTGTCCAACAGAGGGAGCAAGAGGGGGCTGAAATCCAGCCTGTGCTCTGCTGGCTAAGCCATGTACCCCAGCATAGGCTGCATCACCCAGAGGGGGCTCCTTTATCTACTTGGCCTTTCTGTTGGGGTGCCTTTCTCTAATTCACATAAAGGTGCTCCATACAGGCTGGCAGCAGCAGGTCTGAGCAACTAACTTGAGAGCATAGGCTCTGAAGCTGGACGGCCTGAGCTTTTAACCTCTTGGCACCTCAGTGTTCTCATCTGGCAAATGGGGCTAAAAATAGCACTCCCCTTATAAGGTTGAAAGAGGAATGTTGTTGTTGTTAGCTGCCATCAAGTTGACTCCGATTCATGACAATCTTACGTACAATAGAACGAAACGTTGCCCTGTCCTGTGTCATCTTCACAATTGCCAAAATGTTTGAGTTCATCCTTGCAACTTTGGTGCCAGTCCAGCTCACTGGGGGTCTCCCATGCCATCATTGGCCCTCTATTTCACCAAACATAATGTTCTGCTCCAGCAATTGATCCATCCTGGTGGCATGTCTAAAATAAGTAAGTCAGACATTGTTGTGATCCATAAGGTTTTCATTCACAAATTTTTGGAAGTAGATCACCAGGCCTTTTTTTCTAGACTGTCTTAGTCTGAAAGTTCCACTGAAACCTCTCCACCATGGATGACCCTGCTGGTATTTGAAATACAGGTGGCATAGCTTCTAGCATCATAGCAACACACAAGCCACCACAGTACAACAAACTGACAGGTGGTGGGAATGAGGAATAAATGACTTGATTCATGTAAAACCCACCCATTGCTGTAGAGTTGATTCTGGACGGAGTAGTACTGCCCCATATGGTACATGTAAATTCATGTAAAGTAGTCCCTTAATGAGTGTTAGTCTTCTCAACTTGGATATCACAATGAATAAATATCTACCTTCTCATAGTCCTAGTGTTCCCATCCGTGAAATGACACCATGACCTTTTACCTCCTTTTACCCCCATGTGAGGAGCCCTGGTGGCACAGTGGTTAAGAGCTCGGCTGCTAACCAAAAGGTCAGCAGTTTGAACCCACCAGCCACTCCTTGGAAACCCTATGGGGCAGTTCTACTCTGTTCTATAGGGTCACTATGAGTCGGAATTGACTCAACAGCAATGAGTTTTTAGTTTGATCCTCATATGAGGAAGGAAATAATAAGAACACGTTAAAGATAAATGTGCAAAGTTCTGGATTTGGGATTTCACCCTGAACTTGATTTTTGTCTGTTTATGTCCTTTTCCCTTTTTTTAGTTGACATCCTGGTCAAAAATAATTTATTTTTATACTGTATTTTAAAAGATCTCACTGTTTCTGGATATCACATAAGATATCGTGACAACCTCATCCCTGTGTTTGGTCACAGGGTTTAAAGCAGGGTTTCTGCTAACTCGAGGCTCCTGTCACCTCCATTTTCAAAGCGAATGACAATAGCCAGGGAAATGCTCTCCAGTCTTCAGACCTTCCATGTTGTAAATCACATACGCAGAATGTGAACACTGATGAGGCTCCAAGGTCTTGGCCAACTGCAATGGAGGTCTTAGGCAGTGCAAAACGTTGGCCAAATCTGAGCAATGACCAAGTTAATCAAAACAGATTTCCTGTCTCATGACAAAGGAGCAGTCTTCAGCTGAGTTCCATAAAGGTTATTCAGAAAATGAAATATCACTACAGAAAATTAAAGAAGGCATTTGCCTGTCCTAAATGATAAACGCTAATGGGCAAAAAAAGAATTTCAAGTCTTTGAAGCAAAAAAAAACGAGGGAGTGCCAAGAAATTTTTTTTTTTAACCATTTAAGGGTCAATTTCCACCCCCTTAGGGCTTACGGTCAATTGTCGGAATTTTTTTCCACTCTAAATTAAACAGTGATGTCCATGGTTAGTTACAAGCAGTGAGCTGGGCCACCCTCCAGTGAAAATACTATGAGTCTTGAATTTGGAGAGGGCCCTGGATGCAAGTATTCACAAGACAGGTCAAATCAGCAGCTTCCAAATCAACAAGGGTTTGGGAAATTGCTCTTATTTTAAACACAAATGTTCCTTTCCCCTTCCTACCCACTCCCCCAAAAGTCCAGGGGAAGAATAAAGCTTTAATATCACTAAAAAAAAAAAAAAAAAAAGTTGTCATTGAGTAAATTCTGCCATGTGTGTCCGAGTATTAACTGTGCTCCACAGGGTTTTTGATGGCTGATTTTTCGGAAAAAGATCGCCTGGCCTTTCTTCTGAGGTGCCCTTGGGTGGACCTGAACTTCCAACCTTTCCATTCGCGGCCAGTCGTTAACCGTTTGCACTACCAAGGATATTGATATCCTCAATTTCGCTAAAAAATCCATTACTATCGAGTCAATTCTGGCTGATAGTGACCCTATAGGACAGAGTAGAACTGCCCTACAGAGTTTCCTAGGCTGTAATCTTTATGGAAGCAGACTGCCATATCTTTCTTCCGAGGAGAAGCTGGTGGGTTTGAACCACCTACCTTTCGGTTAGCGGCCGAGCACTTAACCACCACGCCACCAGTGTCACAATGAGTCGAAATTGACTAGAAAGCAATGTTTTGTTTTGTCTTTTTTCAATATTGTTACTCTTGTCTATTCCCTAGGCCAATGGTTCTCAAGCTTCACTGTACATCAGAATCACCTAGAGGGCTTACTGAAATACAGATTTCTAGGTCCCACTCCCAGAGTTTCTGATTCACTAGATTTGGGCTGCACCCGAGAATAGAATTTGCATTTTTAGTAAGTTCCCAGGTGATTCTGGTGCTTGCTCTTAGGGGGCTGACTGAGTCCTCTGCTTAAGTCCTTCTTTTGCTTAAGACCAGGTACAGGCAACAGATGCAATCTGAACGGGGCAGCCTCACCTGCCTCATGGGGCGAAAGGTTATGTTGACAATTGCAACATAACCTCTTAGAACAAGAAGTGAGAGATTTGGGGAGCCCTGCAGGGGGTGCAAGGGGTCCCTAATGAGCAGCCTGGAGTAACTGGCAAAGAAACAAATGGCAGGATCTGCTGAATCCATCAGAAATTAATGAGCCATTTCCATTATTTCTCTTCTACCAGATAAGAAAGGCTCAGAGCCTTATTGCCTTATCCAAAAGACAGATGCTGGCTCAGCAACCTCTCCTACTTAGCAGAAAGAGAAAGAAAGAGCCAGCAGTAGGCCCACAGCTGCCTTTTAAGGACATATTCAGGAATTGCACCTCGACAGCAGCGGGTTTGGTTTGGTTCACCGCTGCTCACATTCTGTTGACCCACCTAGCAGCAAGGGAGGCTGGAAAACAAAGTCAGGCTATCTGCTACCCAAAGACAGAAGGGGGAATGGATATTGGGGGACAGTGATCAGTTTCTGCTACATGCCAGCAGACAGCTCTGTCTTAACAAATGCTACCACTTTCCTACCTCTTGGGTCCGGAGTCAGAATAGTGAGTCATTTATCTCTACCATATGGCCTTTAAGCTCAGTATCTCTTCTTCTCTCTTTGCTACAAACACTATGCATGCTTTCGCTGTCCATTCTGTGGCTTGCCTGAAAACAGGAACTAAGGTACCCCTACTTCCTCCATTGGTTTTTGTGGTATCAAAGGGAGAGTAAAAAAATTAATGCGTTTGTGAATTTGCCTGATAACTTTTAAAAATGCAAAGACTCAGAGGCTCCGAGTGGTATAATTTCCATGATCCTAATGGGAGCTGCCTAGGGAGCCAGGCTCTCTTCTTCGAAAACAAACTCTTTGTTAGGAAGCAGCCAACACTGTCTGCTTCCCACTGCACTTATTATCACTTGATGATGCTTCCACTTCCTTCTGAGCCCTGAAGTCTAATTCAATTTTATGCATACTTATTGGGCGACCACTAAGTACCACTTTATAATCCCATTTGTTATGTGTGCTTCTTGAAGGCAAGGACTATGACTTAGTCAGGTCTAGTAAATATTCCATAAGAG